GTTTAGCGGCTTTTCTCAGCACAGCAATGTACTCTTTGGCTGATTCTCCGGGCCGCTGATCCCTCTGTTCGAAGGTGTGGCACCAAGCGATGACGGACAACTTGGGCTGGAAGTGTTCCTTTAGTAGTTTTTTGAGATCTGTGTAGTTAACATTCTAGAGGTGCAGGTGCTGCTATGTTTTCAGCGATCTCGAATGCGTCTTGACTGCAAACGCACAGTAGGGTGGCGGCTTTTAAACTATCTTCTCTTACTTGATTGACTTTAAGATAGTTTTCTACCCTGGCTACATAGGACTCCCATCTTTCCGGATGCAAGACGTCGAATTCTGAAAGTCTTCCAACTTTTGCCATTTTTGTAGTACAGGAAGGGTCTATCAGCCAGCTTACCCCCGATGTTCGCTGAATTGGCAGGCAGCTGCTGAGTTTAGCGCCGTTTCCTACTGCTCAGGACTCTAGGGTAAGCTTACAACTTGTCTGCAGTCGTTGTAAGGCATCCCACCTTCGTCGCCAGTGTTAAGTCCTCAGCGAAATGGCAATGACGCAAGAAGCAGTTGTAGTTCTCAGGAACCTCTTTATTTCTGTTCAACATACTCGTTACAAGACGCCGACAACGCCCAAGTCTCCCTGCCCCTTTTATAGGCGATTCCCGGGCCAAACTGTAACATTTGGCGCGCCTGCACTTTGCGCATGCACGCGAGTGCTGGCGACAGCCAGTCTGGTCCCGGGCAGCTTGTACCTGCCCGGGACCATTGCAATGCCCCGAGCCTGCCTTCACAGGCTCAGGACATAACAGTTACAATCTTTGCATAAAAAAAATTGATTATACGTTATGGTGGGGTTTTTTTCCTTCAATGCCAAAGTCAACTGTCATGTGACAGTATTCTAGAGAAATTAGAGAAGTTTTTGGCTAGAGGAAGAATGAATTTGCTGGGCATTATCCTTCAGTGTGAGAAGACATTGCTGATCTTGCATAATCTAGCTCAGAAACTTTATAAAAAGCTGATTTCCAATGTTGTATTGGCAAATAATTGGAGGGAATAATTGTATCATCCTCTTGATAGTTTCCAGTGAGGTACTTGGAATGTATGAATTACATGAAAAATAAGCTATTGGGAAAACATTCTTCTTACACTACTGAAAATCAGCTCAAATATTCAACCAAATCAAGGAGTAAAGTTTCTAAGTAATTGCCTAACCACTTCAGGTAAGCTTTATGTTTAGTCTTTCAACAAAAAGACTAAAAAAATCTGATGTATGTGTTGAACACAATCACTTCTCAGAGAACTTTGTGTTTTCCGCTTTCTGAAACAAGTTATCTTTTTAGTGGCACTGATAATTTAGAAGTTCCTCTCAAAGAAAGCTCATCAAATTTAATTTGTTAGGATATTTTAGCTAATAATATATATTTAAATGTTTGGCCAGTATTTTGAGTTCTTTTGAGTAAGTAGCATTGTTGCTATATGCTGTACGTATTGTTTTTTAACTATTTTGTTTTTAGGTAAGGCTTTTTTGTGAGGAAAACTGGCTTTTTAATTCCCCATGTGACTAAAACTGCATTAAATTAATTTTACAATATATTGCACTAGTCCCGAAAACTCGTTTTGATTTTGCAGACAGAATTCATGTAAGGCAAAAGACCGGCTTTTTGCTCAAATATGAAATTGCATTGAAAATGTATTCTTGATCTGAAGTCTGCAGTTAATTTGCACATTTTAACAATGTAATTTGCATGTAATAGTTATGATGGTATCTATGAGACTACTATTGGAGACACTGGCTTCAGTCCAAATTAACTGTTTGCTCAAGGAGTATTGGTTTCTATTTTCTGCATATATGTTCAATGTTAAAATTTAACTAGCCTCTGGACTATATTGATAGAAATTGATAATTATTTATCTGAAGTAGGCCTGAATCATTTGAGTAAAAAAAAAAATCACTTTTACAAGTTTTGCAGCAATAGTATTGTTTGCAACTATAAATTTTTTAGAATAGCATTCCCCATTTGAAGGCAAGACTGCCTGGGAGTTACAGATAGTCCTCAACTTACAGCTGGTCATTAGCAACTGTTCAAAGTTACAATGGGCTCTAAAAGGGACAAGTGACTCAGATTCAAAGTTCCAACATCCAGCCCTCCGGCAGTCAAGTATAACTGTATTTTGGGCACCTTGCAACTAGCCCATATTTACAGCCATTTGTGGCATTCTGCAGTCACATGATCACGGTATATGATGTTCTTTCTGGAAATCAGCATTTATTTCCATTTTCTAGGGGGAAAATGCCCATAGCAAACAATGGATTTGCTTAACAACCACAAATTCATTTAACAACTATGGTGATTTATTTAACTACTGCCGCAAAAGAGCTAGAAAATCGTGCATGGTCATTTGATGACCTGTTTTATGATTGTCATGACTTATGACTGAAATTGCATAGTTCAATTGTGGTCATAAGTCAAGGACTTCCTGTATAGCAGTTCTAATACATTAACATTTCCTGAGGACACTGTATAAGATTGTCTAAATTTTACTAACCTGGGCAATAATTATAGCAAAATAATCAGAGATCTACTACTGAGTCTGGCAATGACAAATTAAAGGCAAGGGGTCTGTGGAAATATAACAATGGCCAGATTCAAAATTCAGCTATGAGGACAGATGTTAATGGATACTCATATCATGGAAAAGATCAATAGGCTTGTAACTGTTGGTGCCGGGGAGAAATATCTTGCTGAATTCAATGAAAATCTGTGCAATCTAGCATTGTTTCAGCCGTGTCACTCCTAACATTTCTCAAAAATGCACAAGTATCTTAAATAAGATTAAATGTCCTTTGTCTGGTGTCATTTTTCTTCATAATTTAATAGCCATTGACAGATGCATTTCCCATAAATCCAGCACACTAACCTCCTAGGGAAGCTCCAAATTTTTATGCTGGTAGAAGAGTATAGGTGGTCCTCGGCTTACAACTACAACTGAGCCCAAATTTTCTATTGCTAAGCGAGATATTTCTTAAGTGAGTTTTGTCCCATTTTATGACTTTTCTTGCCACAGTTGTTAAGTGAATCACTACAGTTCTTAAATTATTAACACGGTTCTTAAGTGAATCTGGCTTCCCCATTGACTTTGCCTGTCAGAAGTTCATAAAATGAGATCACGTGACCGCCGGGGACACTGCAGCCATCATAAATATGAATCAGTTGCCAAGCATCTGAGTTTTGATCACATGAACCACAGGGATGCTGCAACAGTTGTAAATGTAAAAAACGGTCATAAGCCATTTTTTTCAGTGCTGTTGTAACTTCAAATGGTTATTATATGAATGGTTGTAAATCAAGGACTACCTGTAGTTGCATTTATGCGTATTGTAGAGTGAGTGACATTCCTAACCCTCATTTCTGAGTTTAGCCTACTTCGGAAGGATTAGTATTAGTGATTCATTATGTGTGCTTGCATGTCACGTGTACTTTAGAAGATGTAATGCAAAGCACAGCAGTAGATAATGCAAAGCAACTCAGAGCAATGTTTTAAAAAGATGTGAGTTAATCGACATCTCAGTTCTTGCCCTCCACTTTTTGATGTCCTTCTGAAGAAACCTTGCTAAGAAAACTTCAGGGACTTGTCCAGGTAGTCCCCAAGAATCAATATGTCTTGAAGGCATGCACACACAATAATAAGTATTCAATGACAAAGCATACTTTGAGTGGAGGGCATTCTTCATCATTTTTTGCATTGCTTATAGCGAGTTACTGGCTAAAAGTACTTGGTGGGGAAGGGGATCCACAAAATTCTGCCCATTTCGAAGGACTCGTCCTGGTGGAATTGCAAACCCTGTTCAGATGTCTTCAGATCACCACTAGGTACTCACTGAGATGCTTATTTGCCAAGCTTTATTGAGCTAAAGTAAGCTTTTCTGAGGAGGTTCATTCTGCCTGTCCTCTCTGCTCTCTCATATGCTTACTTGCACAACTGAAAAATCTGAGCAAGTACTGCGAGACAGTTTATTTTGCACTTGTTTTCTCCGCTGTTTCTTTGTACAGGTAGTCCTTGACTTATGACCACAACTGAGCCCAGAATTGATGTTGCTAAATGAGAAACTTGTTAACTGAGCTTTGTCCCATTTTACGATTTTTCTTGCCACATCTGTTAAGCAAATCACTGCCTTGTTAAATTAGTAACACAGTTGTCAAGCGAATCAGGCTTCCCCATTGAGTTTGCTTGTCAGAAGGTCACAAAAGGTGGTCACACAACCCCCGGGGACACTGCAACCGTCATAAATGTGAACCAGTTGTCCAGCAGCCGAATGTAAATCATGTGACCATGGGGATGCTGCCGCAGTCATAAGTGTGGAAAATGGTCATAAGTCACTTTTTTTCAGTGCCGGTGTAACTTCCCACAGTCACTGATCGAACTGTTGTTAAGTCAAGGACTACCTGTATTTGGAAATGCGTTTTAAAATCTGGATTCAGTATACAATAGGGTGTTTTCTAACTTCATAAAAATTATAAAGGAATTCACCCAGAGCAATTTCCATCCTTTCAGATGGGGCTCTGGAGAACATCACTTCTGAGGGGTCCTTGGTGCCCTCTGAGTTGGCTTGTTTTGGCAGTTTCTTGATTGGGGTATTGATTCCTTGTTGATCTGAAGGTAAGCAAGTAAGCAACGCTCCAATTAACAAACTGCCACAGAGCCATTAGTAAACAGCCCAACCAAAGAATCCCTAAGACCGCCCCCAACCCCCCACCCCAGACAGGGAAGACACCAGAATATAAACTGACAGCAAGCAGCACTCCTTACTACCGGTAGCACTGATGGTATTACCTAGTTTGGGTAACTAAATGTCTGCCACAAAACAAGCAAGCTCAGAGAGCAAGGACCCCCTCATTTCAACCCTGAGCTACGTTGGTAGCATCACTTCTGTTTTTCAAAAAAGAAAAGCAGGCCGCTTCGCTTTCCGAGCGGCCCGCCCGCTCTCCCGGGGACATGCGAGGGAGGCGTGGCCGCTGGCGCGGTCCGTCAGCCAGAGGGGCCGAGGCACCGCCTGCCGCCTTCGCCTTCCCCAGCCTCGCCAACGCGCCTCGGCCGCCGCCCGCGTAGCAGCAGTAGGTGAAAAGCGCCTCAGGCCAGGAAACAGGCTCAGCCGTGGAGCGGTAAGCACCGGCCCTTCGTCTGCAGCCTTCTCCCGGCCCTCCGCAGGCCAAGCCAGACGGGAAAAAAAGCGCGGTCCAGGCGCCAGGTGAAGTCACTCCAGCGCAGCGCTCTTCGCTTGGCGCCCTTTGGACGGCTCGCCGGTAGGAAAGCGGGCGGGAGGGACGGCGTAGTGGAGTCGGGGCTCTGCCCCTTCGTCCCCTTTTCCTACCTGCTTCGCGCCCCGAGTTCACGTGGGCAAGGCTGCAGTTAAATGACCTGCACCGCTCGGTCACCTGTGGAGGGTCGGCTCTTCCAACCTATGTCTTTCTTTAGCTATCGCCCGATACGCAGGTTGCGCCTTTGGCGCCCTGCACCTGTCTATGGGCTTGGCGGGAGGGGATTGCTTCGGGCTTTGCTGACTTCTCAAATCGCCTTGTTCCGAAGCCCGGAAAAATGAGCTTTCAGAGTCTCAAACCGTGGTTGAGAGCTCAGGGTTAGAGAGAGGAGGAGAGGAAGTCGACTGCCTTGGCTTTGCAGAGCAAGCTGAAAGTCTGTGGTCGGGGCTTCATGATTGAGTGCCGCGATAAGGTCCATATGTGCGAAACAACAAAATCGATAAACTCTCCCCAAACCCAAGAAGGAGAAAAATACCAACGCTGCTAATGTATATGACAATGCCTCACCCTTTGCACCCCTCAGTTCCACCAGTGGGTGGTTGCCTGCCCCATCTGAACCTACCAACTAATGTATCCTTCTGCAGGGTACAAATTTGGCTACCTGCAGCAGGAAGGTTATCTTTTTGGTTTAGAACAGACTCCCACAAGGAAAAAACCCCAAGGTTCCCAACAGGAATAGCCAACAGCCATGGGAACAGACTGGGCAAGGGAAGGGTATACATGCGGTGTAGGAGTTTTATTTCTGCTGGTAAGAGAAATCTCTTTCATGAGCATCAGCTATGATAGTTTTTAAAAAATGTTTTTTTTCCCAGTCATTTCAGATTCATAAGGAATCTGGTTTGTGTGTATGTGTGTGTGTGTGTGAGTGAGTGAGAGAGAGAGAGAGAGAGAGAGAGATAGCAAGATAGCATAAGTAGTGTTGGGCTTGTTAAGATAACCTTCATTGTCATTTTTTTCTGTGAGCCCTGGCACATTTTAACAACAACAACAACAATAATAATAAAGTTGGAATGGACCTTGGAGGTTATCTAGTCCAACCCCTTGCTCAGGCAGGAAACTCTATACCATTTTAGACAAATGGCTGTCCAGTCTCTCCTTAAAAACTTCCAGTGTTGCAGCATTCACAAGTTGTTCCACTGATTAATTGTTCTAACTGTAAGGAAATTTCTCCTTAGTTCTAGATTGCTTCTCTCTTTGGTTAGTTTCCATCCGTTGCTTCTTGTCTTGCCTTCAGGTGCTTTGGAGAATAGTTTGACTCCCCCTTCTTTGTGGCGACCACTAAGATGTTGGAACACTGCTATCATGTCACCCCTCATCCATTAAACTAGAGTCATATCCAATTTCAGCAACTGTTCCTTATATGTTTTAGCCTCCGGTCCCCTAATCATTATTGGTTGCTCTTCTCTGTACTCTTTCTAGAGTCTCAACATCTTTTTTACATCGTGGTGACCAAAACTGGATGCAGTATTCCAAGTATGACCTTACCAAGGCATTGTAAAGTGGTATTAACACTTCATGTCATCTTGATTCTATCCTTCTGTTAATGCAGCCCAGCACAGTGTTGGCTTTTTTGGCAGCTGCAGCACACTGCTGGTTCATATTTAAGTGATTGTCCACTAGGACTCCGAGATACCTCTCACAGTTACTACTATTGAGCAAGGTACCTCCTAAACTATACCTGTATATTTTTTTTTCTTGCCTAAATGTAGAACCTTACTTTTTTCACCATTGAATTTCATTTTGTTAGATAGCGCCCAATGTTCAAGTCTGTCAAGATCCTTCTGTATCTTAAGCCTATCTTCTGGAGTGTTGGCTATTCCTGCCAGCTTGGTGTCATCTGCAAATTTGATGAGTTCCCTATCCATCCCCTTATCCAAATCATTGATGAAGATGTTGATGAGCACTGGGCCCAGAACAGAGCCCTGTTTTTTAAAAAAAAATAAATGAAATTCTGTTGCTTCCATTCCACTACAGAGGGAAACTCACAGTTCAAAAATTCATCAGTGCAAAATGGTTTGAAATGTTTTTTTTAAATTAATATACAAGGGGGAGAGCTTTTCCTTTAGCTTAGGAGAGTGGAAGATGTGTTGAGTTCAAGCAAAAGAATGTAAAGTCCTGACCTCGCTTTTATAGCAAGATACTTGAGATGGATTTTTTCGGAACAGGATAGATTTAGAACATGAGGCTACTTTCTAACACAAAATTGCAAGGTGCTATACTCCTTTTCCAATCACCAGTGAACTGTACATTCTTTCTGGATACTTTTTGACATTCATCCTTGCCTTGATTTCTCTTCTTTCCTTTCTCCCTTCTCAACAGTCCTTTGGTCGTATTTAGTCCAGTGGCCATTGTGCCTATTCATTGGACACATTGGACATATTCAGTCTCCAGGGTCAACTGCCCCCTTCCTCTTTAGGCTTGGTTGCTTGAAATATTTGCTTTTCTGCAAAACTTAAAATCCCTGCAAGCCTGTTGGCTGATGCCATTTACATGAGAATCCATCCATGTTTGAGAATTCTGAATTAATGTGCAAAGAAGCCTTGTGTAGGCTAATACTCTCTTTTCTGGCAGCAGAACAGATTCCTAAGAACCCATACAGCTATTTGGGTAATTTAGCTGCAAGTGCTGAGGATTAAAATGGAACCATTTATATGCAACCATGATTATATGGCCACTAAGCTGTAGTTCTTCCATATGAAAATTCAAAAGATTTCTTCAACGTTTTGCCTTAATTCTGTTCTTTTCCTAATGTTTTGTAAGAAAGAAGCTTTACAGCATTTTTCAGATATAATTATCTCTTGGCATTAGTACTCATGTGTTGTTGAGAAAGGAAGTGTTTTCCATCAAGAAAATATTAAGATTAAAATTGTGAAGCAAAAGAGCAGCTTTGAGGCCTATGGATGTTGAGTTGCAAATTTGAAATAGCTGTGCAGTTTTTAACAAAACCACACTTGGTATGGGTGTGGCATGCAAACACAAAGAAATGAAATCAGCTGTTGTTGGTTCTGCCCTGTGTTGCTGAAATTCTGAATCCAAAGTCCAGGTTCATGTACAATTCTTTTTCAGTTCCCTTTGTCACTGAGATATATCTCAAGCTAAGTGGGTGGATGAAATTGCAATAAAGCAGATAATCATTGGCTGAAAATCTTTTCCCAGATAGTGTGTTGATCAAAAGTACGATATCAAACTGGAGTGACATATTCAAAAGTGTCCATCACATTCAATCATGGACTCCATATCTTAAATATGTTTATTAATTACTTGTATGGAGAGGTAAAGGAAATATTTATTGTATTTGCAGTTGACATGACACATGAAATAGATAATATTCTATAATAATTTATATATTGTTTGATAGAGTAATGTATAAAGTAACAGAAAATGAACAGAAAATGAAAAAACGCCGTTTGTGGAACAAAATCAAATGCACAGAAATAGAATGGGAGATATCTCATGTGATAGGAATGTAGAAAAGATAAATGCAATTTTGGCTGCATGAACAGAAATGTAGTTTCCAAATTCTAAGAAATAGTAGTTCATCTTTATTTTTGTTGGTCAGACCATACCTTGAGTATTGTATACAGAATCAGACAAAGCAGCAACAGAAAAAAGATAATCAGGGTTTAAAACTGAATCCTAGGAATAGAAATGAACAGAGTTGGGAATGTTTAGTGCTAGCAAGAGAAGACTGAGCAGAATATGATAGGATCTGATAGACGTTCAAAACCTATTCTCTACCCCTCCAAAATGCAGCACATAATGTTAAGTTAAAAACATTCTGGGAGAGAGAAGTTCCCTGAGGATGGGCTCCAGCGCGAATCCGAAAGTTCAGAAGATTAATTCTCTGGTCCTGGTGACCAACCCAGATTGGATCCATGAATCAAACCTGTAGGGTTGAAAGGGACCTTGGAGTGCTTCTATTCCAATCCCTTGCCTAAGGCAGAAGTCCTAATACCCTTGAACAAATGGCTGAAAATCTGCAGCAACAGAGCATCCTTAACTCCAGGAAGCAAGCTGTTCCATGCTTAATACTTTTACTGTGCAGAAATTCCTCCTTATTTCCATGTTAGATGAGCTTCCACCCATTTCTTTTTGTCTTATACTCAAGTGTAAGCCTCTGTATCATGCTTTTTATGTTTGCACCTGAGAGACAACTTGATAGCTTGTACTAGTCTGCAGATTGCTGATTCTGTACCTCTGAGAAGTGAGTGACCAATCACCACCATCACATTGTTTTTCTTCTTTGGGGCACCCAGCGGACTCCTTCTCTGACAGTCTAAGCTACTTTTCTTTCCGTCACTGGAACAGAAGCCTCTTCTTCTTGATGAAGACTCTTCTTCAGATGTCTGCATGTCTTCTTCCAGAGGGGAGGGTATGTAGTTGAGTGTTAAGCTCCACTGGCAGGGATAGTTTTTTCAGTTTTGTTCTCCCAGTGACATGCTGCCATTATTCCTCCTCTAGGGTTCCATATTTCTGGGTAGTTGTTTCTTCCTTGCTGTGTTCAGTTTATAGACAGAATTTTGCCTTTGCCTTTTCCCGACTTAGATTCTTAGCTGTAAGATTTGCATGCCGTTAAACATGTAGGCAATTAGGTTAATCCAATGAAATGAAGTCCCTTTCTCTGTTGCTCATGGTGAGCTCTTCTCCAGTCTATGCAAACACTCTTATGAAAACCCACACACAGAGATCAATATTTACATTTTGATTCTCACCACCCACTGGAGCATAACACAGGAGTTATCAAAACCCTATACAACTGAGCTGAAGGCCTACCTACCAGCAAAGAGGGGAAAGAAAAAGAACAAAACCACATCAAGGAAGCCCTCAGAACTTGTGGCTATCCCAAGTGGGCCTTCATCAAATCGCAAAAAAGACCCAGCAGGAGCTACTCCATAACAGACAAAGAAGAAAACAACAAATGAAGCAACATAGTTATTCCATATGTTGCAGGAATATTGGAAAAACTCAGGAGGGTCTTCAGCCAATACAACATACGTGCACACTTCAAACCCAAGAAAACACTAAGGCAGAAACTTGTCCACCCCAAGGATAAAACACCCAGACACAAACTGAGCAATGTGGTATATGCAGTACTATGTGCAGATGTATACATTGGGGAAACAAAACAACCATTTCATAAACGCATGGCACAACATAGGAGAACAAACTTATCAGGACAAGATTCAGCAGTCAATCTGTATTTAAAAGACAAAGGCCGCTCTTTTGAAGACAGCAAAATGCACATTTTGGACAGAGAGGATTGCTGGTTTGAAAGAAGGGTCAAAGAGGCATCTATGTCAAAATTGAACAGCCCTCTCTCAGTGGGGAGGTAGGGAATACAACATCATCTATCACCAGTCTACAACACAGTCCTTTCAACATTTCCAAGAAGGCTCCACACTCATTTGCACTGCTCAGGTGACCCTGACAACATAGGTAGCCTCAATGACTCTCTAAATGAATGTAAATGACCAGGTGTCTGCAAGGAGTATAAATCTTCCATTCCCCACCATCCAGTCAAAGCTGAAAAAGCTTCTTGGATGAGAAGTGAAATGTCTTCAAAGAAAAACAAGAAAGTCCAGCTGCCTCATCTTTGCAACAACTATGACCTGAATGACTGAGAATCTCCATAGACATTCCAACAGGGACTAAACTCATCTGTCAGGAAAAATGCATTTAGCAGTGGACTTGGTGGCTACCCAACTATATGGTTCTGTGTTCAGACCTGGATGTCTTTTTGCTTTCTAATTCCAACACAGAATTAGAAAGAAATTATTTAAAAGGGATCAGGACTCTTTCAGTTTGTTAAGTTAATTTTCCAAAAAATAGAATAGAATGAGGCCACATTTGGTCTGCCAACTGCAGTGGGAAAAAATACCAATAATTAAAGAGGATCCAAGAATAATTTTATTGAAGTTAGCACATTGAAGTGAGTCACTGATGCACTGCTAAAAAGAATAAAGAACACTAGAGTGCCTTAACAAGTTCTTATATAAGATTACAATGATTGAAGGTAAGCATGTACAGTATATACACACTGGACCATTGACAAATAATTGTCTTACAAGTTGTAAGGAATACAGCTAGGGATTTAGGAAGGAATCTATTCCTCTGTGCCAGGAAAGAGAACATTTTGTAATGCAGGATACTGAGAATTGTGATAACCAGTCAAGTTGATTGTTATTCTAACAGTTTGAACATGCATCCCTCTGTGAAGGGGAGAGTTATATAAATCCATCTGGAATTAATGTCCTTGAGAATGTTGCAGTTTATGGAGACATGCAATTTGTGAATTCTTGTCCTACATTCAAGTGTAAGCCTCTCATTTGCTATTCATTAATGTAACAAAGGTTTCAGCTTCAGGGGATATATATCATGAGAGAGTAGTTCTGGCATGCCTAGAGGGGACATAGTTTAGTAATTAAGACTATCGATAAATTGACTTTTATATTAAAGAGATAAGGAAAGATATTCAGTAATTATTGATGACCTGTCTGTGAGCTCACAGAAGGAATGCAGAATGCATGGAAAAATCCAGCAAATTTTTCATGTTCAAAAATTAGCCAGATTTATGTAGAGGTTGCAATATTCATTAGAAAATACAGGAACGTTGCCAATAGCATTCTTGCAATCCTCTCCCAGAATAGATTCTCCTATTAGGGGGTTTGAAAGAATTCCAAAAGTTATGATCTGGTATTTTCTACATAAAAGTAAGGCCCCTTTTAGAATCATCTGCCTTGCTTTGTAATAACAATTTGAAAGAAAGTTTTGTTTTTAACCTTGACCTCGGCTGCATATGTCATGACATTTCTTATTATCACATTCCTTCTTGTTAACTGAATGTCTTAGGCAAATCAAACATGTAATAATTTCAAACATGTTTTTTATCTTGCATTACTTATCACAATTGTATATTGTTCTTAGAAAAAATAATTGTTGTCAAAACATTTTGCTTTTTTTCTGGCTGTTCATAGCTCTAACTGTGGCTGACCCTTGATTCCAGCTGTCCATCACTAAGTGTAGATCTTGCTGATTTCTGCAACTTCCTGGGTTTCCACCCAATCATTGGCAAACATAAAACTTGATACCTGAGATAATCCACTTTATGTGGTCAAAGAGAATAAAAGAACACCCAAAAAAAGTAATGAACTGTATTGATGTTAGGTAATGCATAAGTGGTAAAAGAGTAAACTAAGCAATTGCCCACCCTTTAAATGCCCCACTCCATATGATGGAAAGTTAGAATAAAAACATGATTTAAATCAGAGGTCCTCAACCTTTTGGGCACCAGGGACCGGTTCTGTGGAGAAAGATTTTTCCATGGACTGGAGAGAGCATGGTTTTGTGTGCTGCCTGCATCCCACGGATGGGGCTTTGCTTGTTTGTGCGGACCAATTGTTGGCATGCCGCGGTCCAGTACCAGGCCACGGACCGGGGGTTGGGGACCCCTGATCTAAATGCTCCATCATATTTGAGGAAGGTTCAGCTGAAGCTAAATCCTTTTTCTGGATGGCCGGAATCAGGATTATTTTTACTATAGATTGATTGCAATTTTCTTTCCTGGCTTACCAAGTGTTGGCCAGCTTATTTATTAAATTTATATTCCACCTTTTGTTCAGAAGTGTAAGGTGGTCTACATAGTCTTTCCTTTCTTTATCTATGCCTTTGTTTCTTTCACTTTTCCCTTCCATACAACTTCTGATACTAGAGGGAAATTAAATACTCTTCACAGGGATGTAATGTGACTACTTATTTAGAAGCTGTCCTACTCAGTATTCACCATTTTATCATGCTCATTTTTCATTTTCCCTCAATTATCTGAATTGTCACATTTTTTAAAAAAAAAACTTAAATTTTACATGCTTAATGCTTAAAAAAAATCTGAAGTTTACCTGATTGCCTTATTTTACTCATATATGGATATGTCATCCAGGCTACCATGATATATATACCTGATGTTGTATTCTTTCTAGGAAGGATACTCTGGGAGAGGGTTACACAACACGGCGGACACAGTCTAAAGAGAAGCACAAATGAGTGGGGATACAGTGCCAGATTGCCACGGGAACTGAGGGCTACCCCAATTGCATAAGAAGTACCATCTTTCAACAAACCTCATCCACAATGGCTAATAGGTTATCATTTCTTGTATTTTGTGTTCTTTTACATTGAAAAAATAAAGAGAAAACAAATGTGTAGTGGCCAGATGAGTGTTGGAGCCATGGAAGGGGAAGACTTAGCTTTCCTTCCTCCTCTCATTTCCCATTTGAGAATAGCCCTATTTTAAAATGTTTCTCCCCTTTATGGATTACTGCCTTGTTATGGCAAAGGGGCTTGCGTAACTCAATGAATCTATAAGCTATGCCATGTAGGGCCACCCAAGACGGACAGGTTATAACAGAGAGTTCTGACAAAATGTGATCCACTGGAGAAGGAAATGGCAAACCACTCCAGTATCTTTGCCATGAAAACCCCATGGACAGTACTAAAGGGCAAAAAGATATGACGCTGGAAGATGAGCCCCTCAGGTCGGAAGGTGTCCAATATGCTACTGGGGAAGAGCAGAGGGCTAGTACTAGTAGCGCCAGAAAGAATGAAGCAACTGGGCCAAAGCCGAAAGGACGCTCAGCTGTGGATATATCTGGTGGTGAAAGGAAAGTCCGATGCTGTAAAGATTTTTTCTCCATAGGAACCTGGAATGTAAGATCCATGAATCAAGGCAAGCTAGACGTAGTCAAAAAAGAGATGACAAGACTGAACATCGACATCTTAGGAATCAGCGAACTAAAATGGACAGGAATGGGTGAATTTAACTCAGATGACCATCAGGTATACTACTGTGGGCAAGAATCCCTCAGAAGAAATGGAGTAGCCTTCATAGTCAATAAAAGAATAGGGAAAGCAATACTGGGATACAATCCCCAAAATGACAGAATGATCTCAATTCGAATCCAAGGCAAACCATTCAATATCACAATAGTCCAAATCTATGCCCCAACCACTGGTGCTGAAGAGGATGAAATTGACCAGTTCTATGAAGCCCTACAGCACCTTATAGAATTAACACCAAAAAATGATGTCCTTATCATCATGGGGGATTGGAATGCTAAGGTAGGAAGCCAAAAGATAACCGGAATAACAGGCAAGTTTGGCCTTGGAGTACAAAATGAAGCAGGGCACAGGCTAATAGAATTTTGTCAAGAGAATATAACAAACACTCTTTTTCAACAACCCAAGAGACGGCTCTACACGTGGACATCACCAGACGGTCAACATAGAAATCAGATTGACTATGTGCTCTGCAGCTAAAGATGGAGAAGCTCTATACAGTCAGTAAAAACAAGATCAGGAGCTGACTGTGGCTCAGATCATGAGCTTCTCATTGCAAAATTTAGGCTTAAATTGAAAAAAGTAGGGAAAAGCACTAGGCCACTCAGGTATGAACTAAATCATATTCCTGATGAATATACAGTAGAGGTGACAAATAGATTTAAGGAATTAGATCTGATAGACAGAGTGCCTGAAGAACTATGGATGGAAGTTCGCAACATTGTACAAGAGGTAGCAACTAAAACCATCCCAAAGAAAAAGAAATGCAAGAAAGCAAAATGGCTGTCTGAGGAAGCTTTGCAAATAGCTGAGGAAAGAAGGGAAGCGAAAGGCAAAGGAGAAAGAGAAAGATACACCCAATTGAATGCAGAATTCCAGAGAGTAGCTAGAAGAGATAAGAATGCCTTCTTAAATGAACAGTGCAAAGAAATAGAAGAAAACAACAGAATAGGGAGGACCAGAGATCTCTTCAAGAAAATTGGAGATATGAAGGGAACGTTTCATGCAAAGATGGGCATGATAAAGGACCAAAATGGCAGAGACCTAACAGAGGCAGAAGAGATTAAGAAGAGATGGCAAAACTACACAGAAGAACTATACAAGAATGAGCTTAACATCCCAGATAACCACAATGAGATGGTCACTGACCTCGAACCAGACATCCTAGAATGTGAAGTGAAATGGGCCTTAGAAAATCTGAGCAACAACAAAGCTAGTGGAGGTGACAGTATTCCAGCTGAGCTATTCAAAATCTTAAAAGACGATGCAGTAAAAGTGCTACACTCAATTTGCCAGCAAATTTGGAAAACTCAACAGTGGCCACAGGATTGGAAAAGGTCAGTTTACATTCCAATTCCAAAGAAAGGCAATGCCAAAGAATGTTCAAACTATCGCACCATTGCACTCATTTCACATGCTAGTAAAGTTATGCTTAAAATCCTACAAGCTAGACTCCAGCAGTATGTGGATCGAGAACTACCAGAAGTACAGGCAGGATTTCGAAGAGGCAGAGGAACTAGAGATCAAATTGCCAACATACGCTGGATCATGGAGAAAGCTAGGGAGTTCCAGAAAAAATCTATCTGCTTCATTGATTATGCAAAAGCCTTTGATTGTGTGGATCACAACAAATTGTGGCAAGTTCTTAAAGAGATGGGAGTACCAGACCATCTCATTTGTCTCTTGAGAAACCTATATGCCGGTCAAGAAGCAACAGTGAGAACCGAACATGGAACCACTGATTGGTTCAAAATTGGAAAAGGAGTCCAGCAAGGCTGTATACTGTCGCCCTGCCTATTTAACTTATATGCAGAGCACATCATGAGAAAGGCAGGGCTAGATGAATCAAAAGTTGGAATTAAGATTGCCGGGAGAAATATCAACAACCTAAGATATGCAGATGATACCACTCTAATGGCAGAAAGTGAAGAGGAACTAAAGAGCCTCTTGATGCGGGTGAAGAAGGAGAGTGCAAAAGTTGGCTTGAAACTCAACATTAAGAAAACCAAAATCATGGCATCCGGCCCTCTCAATTCCTGGCAAATAGATGGGGAAGAAATGGAGGTAGTGACAGATTTTATTTTTCTGGGCTCCAAGATCACCTCAGATGGGGACTGCAGCCAAGAAATTAAAAGACGCTTGCTCCTGGGGAGGAAAGCTATGGCAAATCTAGACAGCATACTAAAAAGCAGAGACATCACCCTGCCAACAAAAGTGCGTATAGTCCAGGCCATGGTTTTCCCAGTTGCAATGTATGGCTGTGAAAGTTGGACCATAAGAAAGGCTGAGCGCCAAAGAATTGAGGCCTTTGAACTATGGTGCTGGAGAAGACTCCTGCGAGTCCCTTGGACTGCAAGGCGTTCAAACCGGTCAGTCCTAGAAGAGATCAACCCCGACTGCTCTTTAGAAGGCCAGATCCTGAAGTTGAAACTCAAGTACTTTGGCCACCTAATGAGAAGGAAGGACTCACTGGAGAAGGGCCTAATGCTGGGAAAGATTGAGGGCAATAGAAGAAGGGGACAACAGAGAATGAGATGGCTGGATGGAGTCACTGAAGCAGTAGGTGTGAACTTAAATGGACTCCAGAAGATGGTAGAGGACAGGAAGACCTGGAGGAACATTGTCCATGGGGTCGCGATGAGTCGGACACGACTTTGCAATTAACAACAACAACAAAATGTTTCTAGTTCTTCTTTCTCCGTACTACCAATTAAAAAGGAAATCTAGCTTCAGGCTGCACCTTCTTTCTGGGTTAGTATGACATAGGAGTCCCAAAACAAAAAATAATAATTTCCCCTTATTTTTAAGAATTCTGAGATTAGATTGGGTATCAACTTTGAGGGCCACTAAAGATGGACTTTGTAGTATTGTACTTGCTAACTAATGTAGTTATTTTGTATTTTGATTTGACTCATTTTTATCTCTTTTTAAAAGATAACTTTTAACATTCCTAAATATCAAGATAAAAAACTGTCTTTGTTCCCCAGGTCAGGATAGGATGGGATCTCTGGAGTTTGTCTTCTGATAAGAGAAAGCTTGTTAGTGCTAATTGGTATTTGGTTTGTCTCTCTGTGATCTTCAAACAGCCTTATGACTTTTTTCCGCATCAACATTTTAAATTTTACGTCCCTGCTTTCCTCTGGCTTCATTTCAATGGGTATATGTGTGGTCACATGTAATATGTTCAACTCCACGTAACTGATTTTCTATGCAAAGGAAGGGTTATTTTTGTTCCGTCCAATCAACTTTTCTCTTGTAATTTCCTTTGAAGTGCTAACTATAAAAAGGACTGAAAGCTCGGTCTCAGAATTCTCTCTTTTTATGAGAGGAATCCTTTTTAATCAGAACATTCTGAATAAATCATAATAAAATGATCTTCCTGCCTTGATGCCTTTATGAGGTCTGGGCATACTTGGGTCACACCTAAGTCATTTTTGCTAACAACCTGACCAGAGTACTACTTTTGCATGTGACACTGGACTTCTCATTGCAAATACAGCCAGTAGTTGGGTTTGTATAGCCATGGCAATAATATACAGTTGGCATGAACACAGCCATACTTTGTCAAAGTTTCAGATGTTGTGTTTTTAAATGATCTCTGCAATGTTTTAGAGTGGATCTTGAGCACTTTAAAACAGCTGCAATCCAGGAGAAAGACACAGCAGCTTTAATGCTTTTAGGCTATCTGTATACAGAAGCATATTTTGGGAATTCAGTCATTGCCCAAAATGGATGTCTGAGGCATATTTTTATATTATTTAAAGAGGACAGATCTTGTATCTTTTTTAAAAAAAAGTTTCATTTGCTGGTATGTAAATTTCATGAAACTTAATCCTTTCTCTGTTCTAGGCTAAAATGAAGTACAGTCTTGAAGCAGAACTGACTGCCACTCCTATTCCCTGTTACAAGCAGCATAGGAAGAATTTGGGTTAACTATGACAGTTTTTGCTACTGCTCTTTGGTTTTGTAGGCAACTGTGTGCATACCTAGCTTATCTCCTGAAAAGGTCAGTTTTAAGTGAGAAACCTGAGAATTCATTTTCTCTAGAATACTGTTTATAGTATCCAGTCAAATGTTTTTGGAGCCTTACAATGCTAATATATTTAATAGATACTCAGACGTATAACAGAATGTTTCATTGTGGAGTATTTCCTGTTTGGGGTTCTAGCAGTTCCACACCATTGCCTCCTGGATTTTTTTTCTTTCAGCATTTTGTTCTGAAGATGCCAGTAATGCTTAGTGGTTACTGACAAAATCTGGGGAGGAGGAAAAGTATCTTTCATAGCATTTTTCCTTTAAAGTTCACTTCTATAAAATTTGGGGTTCAGTTAAGTCCACTTAGAATTTTGGTAAAAGTTTGGTATGGTAGAAATCTTGGTGCTCATAACTTTTCCTCAAAAAGAAGGGAAAATATACCGCTCCTGGATATGGAGAGTGTCTTTACCTATCACAGTTAATGAATTTTGATAACTCATTTAATTTGAAAGCCACATGATGATTTGCTTCTCTGTGGTTTAGCAATAGCAATTACACTTAGACTTATATACCACCCCATAGTTCTTTACAGTCCTCTCTAAGCAGTTTACAGAGTCAGCATATTGCCCCCAACAATCTGAGTCCTCATTTTACCAACCTTGAAGCAATGGAAGGCTGAGTCAACCTTGAGGTGGTCAGAATCGAAGGAATCGAACTCCTGGCAGTGAGCAGAGTTAGCCTACAATACTGCTTTCTAACTACTAGGCTACCACAGTGTTTAGTACAGTGATTCTCAACCTGTGGGTCGGGACCCCATTTGGGGTCAAACGACTATTTCACGGGGGTCGCCAAACGCAGTCTGCCATTCTAACCCCTTTTCCTTAGCTGTGCTACTCCCTCTTATTCTATTGGCTTTTAAAAGCCAATAGAATAGACTCTATTCAAGAGACTCTATTCTATTGGCGTTTGAAAGCCAATAGAATCTATTGGCTTTTGAAAGCCAATAGAATAGACTCTCTTGAATAGAGTCTAATTCTATTGGCTTTCAAAAGCCAATAGAAATTGTCCAGGTTGTCTCTGCCCTGCTGAGCCCGCCAAAAGTCCCATTCTGCAAACGGTGCTGCAAGTTGTCTGCAGCGAAGGCGAGCTGTCTGGAAGCTTCCATCCCTCCCTGTTGCGCAACTACTAAAAATATAAGTAAAAGAGGGCCAGGGGTGGGAGGTGGGAGGCCGGTGGACGCCGGGAGGGTTGCTGGCGCGCATGGGGCCCGGCGGGTGCCTTACCTCCCTTGGGCTGGGCCAGCTGGTGGCCCAGCCGGTGGGAGGCCTGCGCCATCTCTGCTGCTTGCCAGCAACGCCTTGGCCGGCGCAGGAGGCAGCACTGCGCATGCGCGGCGCTCCCGGGCAGGGAAAGTCCTCAACTTACGGCCGGTTGGGCAGTCCTTGACTTACGACCGGTTGGGGTCGCGGCATTAAAAAGGTTGAGAACTACTGGTTCAGTACATCATATGCTCCTAGCCAGTTTGGTTTGTAAACCCTGGGTTATGATTTAGTCTGTCATATGAAACTGGAAAAAAATTGATTTATTCAGTTAATTGATTAAGCAAACTATACCATGCTATACTTTGTGAGCCCAGCCTTTTGTTGAACAAATAAATACTTTTCTGTCATCCCCAAGCCTCTAGCTAGCTTTCCCAATGTTATAAAATTGTGTGAAAACTTGGTTGCTTCACATGCTCTGACTGATCTTTTGCTTGGATTTCAGGTGCAGCAGATACCTACAGAGAATATTCACAAGTAAAATTTGTGGTATTGTTATGTCTGCATGTGTGTGTGTGCTAAAAAACCTTTAGTAATATAAGCATATTCATTTTATTAAGTCATACTTGACATTTTTTTTAGATAAGCGAAGTGTTTGGGGCGAAACTGATTTACTCGCTTTTTGTGCAAAAGAATGGAAAGGAGAAACAGAGCAAGCAAAACAAATGAGAGAGGTGAGCTGCCAAGCACAAAATGGCGTTCTTTCCAATGACTGGGCAATCAAAATGTCTTCTCCGTTGGGGCAACAATGATATCTCAATATATAAGAAGAGAAATATCAAACTGAGAATTGCATAACCCAAACTTGTCTTCTCTAATGAAATTATACGTTAACCTCAAAACTATTTTCAAAATAGGGAGAACAATGTAACATGTTTACATGCTGTTTTAACATTGTTGATTAAAAATATTAATTCATCTTGTGTACTGTTTAGAGTGCTGGACTAGAACAGGAGAGTCCCATTTAATTATGTAGCATGCTTGGTGACTGGCATAGGTACTGTTGGGAAACTACCAGCCAGGAAGGAGGAGGGATCGAGCAGAGAGTTAGCTATGAGTCATTGTGCAGCTGCAAAAGACCTAGGACTGACACACACACGCACACACACAAACACACACCTGAGTTCCATGGAACTTGTTCCCAAGAGTGACAAGCAGTCTGGGGAGATTCTTGTACTGTAGGTAGACTAAAGTGATCAACTTGAACATTTCACACGTGGATCCTGTTGCTTGCATGTGACACGTAACATCTCTCAGCTCAATGTAATTCACAGGATTTTCATATTGCACATAAAAATGAATGATTTCATGTACATTGCTGCGAGCTAAGACATTACAAAAATTCATAATCATATTTTTCTTTAGTTATAAAATTAAGTTTAGACTTGGGAAGTTGTACCATATGAAATAAAGAGAGCCAATTTGGTCTAGTGGTTAAGGCACCAGGCTAGAAAGCAGGAGACAGTGAGTTCAAATCCCGCCTTAGCCATAAAAGTTAGCTGGGTGACTTTGGGTCAGTCACACTCTTTCACCCAACCCACCTCACAAGGTTGTTGGGGGGGAAGTTGTGTTGGAAATGCTCGCTACGTCAGGTTATTTGTAAAGAAATAAAGATTGGATATAAATAAATAAAAAATGACAGGTTTAAAGAAATTATCATGATAATATTTAGAATAAAGAGCAGTTTTCTAAGTTCCCTAATTTTGTTTAAACGAAAGAGGATGTTTTTTGTTTTTCTCCCATATTTTTTGCCCATTATTTTGTTAGATATATAGTTAGATAGTAGATATAAACTTTCCTGTGAAGTAATTTGGGCTTAATGATCTAAAATGGGGGAAATAATGTAGAGGTAGCTTCTTGAACAATTAAGTAAACTTGCTCTATTTTTAGTGATGTTCTGAGGTCTCCCTGAATTAATATTGAAATTATCCTCTTTTTTCCAAAGAGGGCTCATTTTAACTGCATTTCTGTTGGCATTCCACAGTTTTGTTTTCTACTTCGTTTAATTCATTCTAACTTACTGCATATTAACCTTGTGAGAATTAATGGGGAATTGTTTTGTGAGCTGGTATCATGGTGTGAAAATTGTGTAATTTTTAAAATGATATTAACTGCAGCTTGAAAGATAAACATTATGCTACATTGATAAACACTTTTTTTCCTGCTGTTAATTAAAGGACTGCTTGCTACACTATAAATCTTTTTATACCTAGGATCATTAGCAGATGCTAACATTAAAACAAGAGTATATTAATAGGGGTGAGCTTGGATGCAGCCTAATCAGGAGTGACAGTTAAAGTTTGGATTCCTTTACCTAGGACAAACTTAATAATATTATTTAAAATTGTATTAGTTCAGAGCTGTTTTTCCTCATTTTTGAAAATGCAATGCTGCCTTTCTGAATTGGCTTGTTGCTCAATTTTTGAAGCCTTTTTATGTAACTGGTATCTGTAGTATATGGATGGGGTATTTTGCCATTCTGGATTGCCATTCTGGATTTTGAGGCAACATACAGTTCCCTCCAAAAAATAATTATGTTTGTAGAAAAGATAATACAGTTTGATCCCATCTATCCGGGAGGGGGTTATGCAGGCCACTAAAAGGTTGCTGGGGACCACATGTGGCCAAGTGACCTACATTTTACAAGTAATTATGTTCTCTAATTAATTATGTAATTACTATTAATCAATTAAACTATTGCTCTGACTAGTCATTTGTCCCACCTACCCTCTTTATTTTTTCAAAGTCTTACAAAACATTATTATGGAGGTACCATGTGAAATGTATCAGACAGGTCAGTGGAGATAAGTACTGTTTACTAAGAGCTGTGCTATTCCAGATATTCAGCCAAGGTCTCCCTCTTCCATCATGGACTAAGGCCACAGATATACTAAAGGTAAATCACAAAATAAATGATGATCTACAGAAAAAAAAAGACTTTTTTAATGTTTAGATTTTTAAAGGTATAATTGTAAAAGTGGAATCACTTTCATATACTTTTGAACTTTGAGTTCAGATATAGCAGAACTTAATAATGTATCTTACCTCCCAGTTTTTCAGAAATCTAGAAGTATCTTTTATTTGGAAGCAAATATTCTTTTTTGAAACATCAGGATAACAAGGCATAGGTGAATTATACCTGTTATCCCTATACTTGTATTGTAGCTTTTATCTACAGGTAGCCTTCAACTTATGACTGGTTGCTTAATGAATATTCAAGTACAACAGACTCAAAAAACAATTATGACCTGTCCTTGAAATTATGACTGATGCACCACCACCAATCACACGGTCCAATTTCAGATGCTTAGTAACCGGCTCACATTTATTATGAATTGCAATGTCCCATGGTCCCCTGAATGTGTTTTGCAATGTTTGCTGTTTTCTAGCAAAAAACACCCATTGGATAAGCTAGATTCAGACTTATAACCATGTGATTAACTTAATAACCGCATGATTAGCTTAATGATTGTGGTGACTTTATAAAAATGGTCATAAAATTGAGTCTAGTTGCATGTGAACTTACGACTACAACCACTTATGACCAAAAGTTCGGGCTCAATTGTGGTCATTTGTGAGGACTATCTGTAGATAATTTAGGGTATCCTAATTTCCTGTTGAATTTTTCCACTGAGGAATCAGTTGTGCTCTTCTTTTTCAGCTCCCTGAAAAACTTCTTTATTCACAAGGATGTAATTGGATCCAACAGTACAGCTTCGGATCACAACAATATACAGGTTCAAATACACTAGGAAAATTACGTAAATGTATTGAAGCATTAAAAGGACAGGTAAGTGGGCAGATATTAAGGATAAATTAAAATCTAAAGTTTACTGGTGTTATAACTATTATTAGTTAGTAAAATATAAAGTAGCTAACTAAAACTCAGGTCGACCAATCAGTATATGGTTGGGGAAGCCTATAAATATTGAAGGGAACATTTTAAATGCTATTTTTTTTAAAAAAAAAAAAGTTTGATAATATGCCTTAGAATGTATTTTAAAATTATTTTGCTTTACAAGATACTCAATTTCTTGCATGTTTCTGTAACCATGAGTTAACATTTCTTTTAGTATCTCAGAAAAGCATTGTGGTTTTGATAATCTGCAAATATATTTACCTTATGTGAGGTTAAAAACTTTTGGTTTAGCCCCTCAAAACTGCTTAAAGGTGTAATTTTGTCATACTAATATGTAGCCTCTCTTGAAGAACATTCCTTTGGGTAAATGTATTATTTAATGAATTGACTGCATTATACATAGCATCCTTCATACCTGTGAGCCACTCCATGAACTGGTGGACTATTCTTGTTTAAAATACCAGCCGTTCATTCATTTCCTCTTTCTGGATGTCATACTCCATTCTTTTTCTCTCCATTTTTGTCTTCACCCTTTCCCAAAATAATCAGTCAAATTCCTCAGCCCTCACTCAGCTGTTCTAGGGGTCTTCTCCTTCTCCTTCTTCTTTCCTCCAGCTTGGTTCTTACAAGTGCCTCCACCTATTAATGCCTACCTCTTGTATGCAGATCCATTTTTACTGTGAGTACATACGATACCAAAAATATTTTTGCCAAAATAAAACAACTATTTCACATAGATCCGAAGAGCTAATTTTCTCTCATCCTATTCTCTTTTGTAGTGGATGGAAATCAGTGGTATTAAGGATCAAGCTCAACGACAGAATTTTTGCAATGCACTTTTTACCGGTGGAAGCATGGAGCATAAGTGTTATGAGGCCATAAAATTCATCATGCTCTATCAAGTAATAGAAGCTTATGAATGCTTGGCCAGTAACCAGGAATGCATTCCAAACTTTTTTAGTGACCTTTTTAGACGGGATACTTCTTTGGACCCTTTAAGTTACATGATGAATCATCTGAATTTAATAGGGGACAGAAGAGGTCTTGATCAGGTAAACGCCAAACAAAATTTAATAAATTTTGGCATTAAAAAAAGAACTTAGGAGGCTTAAATTGATTTACTTCTATGCTGTCCAGAGCAAGAAAAGTAGTAGTAGACTAAGATTTTGTGCCATATTTTTAAATCACAGGGCTTAATAAGTGATCCGTTTTCTGTTTCTGCTTATTTTGTAAGGTTTTTTTAACTTGTATTTTTCATATAGAAGGAAAAAAACTACATCTTCTGATCATACTCCAGTTTTGTTTTTTTTATACCAGAGAAAGGCTTTTTTAGCAATAGTGGCAAAAAAGGCTTTTTTATTCTCAGTGACTTTTTATGTTTCATAAAAGCATAAACATTTGTAGGATCTAATCTGGGTCGGTCACCAGGTCCAGAGATTTTGTCTTCTGAGCTTTCGGACTTGTGCTGGAGCCCATCTTCAGGGAACTTGAACAATCAGTTTTGCAGCTACTAAGATTGTTGGTTGAGCAGGCACAAAAACAGCCAGGCAAGTGACTGAAGCCTGGGAAACAGGCCCCTTGTCAATCAACAGGAGTGCTGATTTATCACCAGCTTATCAAGTACTTATAAGGCAAGGGCTGGACAGCCAATGACTTAATAGCCAATCTTCAACACAGACCAATCAGCATCTAAAAAGCCACATACAACAGGCACCATATAAATATCACACAGAAAACAGCATGCACTCTGGTAGAGGGAAATTCCCTGAAGATGGGCTCCAGCACGAGTCCAAAAGCTTGGAAGATGAAACCTTTGGTCCTAGTGGCTAACCTAGATTGGATCCTGCAACATTATCCTGGGACACATATATTTGCCTTCATTCATAAAAAGTGTTATATGGGAATATGCTGCTTTTAGCTTTTGCCACATTTAGTTCACTGTTTGTGTTTTTGTGGAAGTGGAGATCACCTTTCCCATTAATTTTAGAAATAAAATACCTGTTATGTCACAAATATATTAACTTGATTGGCCCTACCTTTTTTTCAGGTCTCTCTGTTTGTCACATTTTGTATATTTTGTATATTTTGTCACATTTTTCATTGCTTTTAAAGGTCTTAATTAGTGCAAATTATTATCAATCTAGTTTGAAGAATATATTGCTTGAAATGGGAGGGGTTTGATATGGTTCAGAGGGAAATGGATTACTTCCTTCCTGAATCAACATGTTTTATGGGCTCATGTGCATCAGAAGCTAAGATATATACACTAGTTTATGAGAAAAAAAGTAGCTAAATCAACCATCTTAATTATGAATTAATTTACATGGATTGTACGTTATAACTTGTCTTTTCTATAGATTGTGAGTTTCATTTTTTCTCCTCCACAGATTGATCTGTTTCTCCTTGGGCATTCTCTTGAAATAAAAATAATAGTTTATAGGTTGTGTAAGATTAATACCAAAGATTTCCTAGAAACGTACACAGATGAATATCAGAGAGATTGCCACGAGGTCCTCCTTCTAACTGAAGATGACCGTCATTATCACATTCCTGTTGCTAAGATATGACTTCTTCAGGCTGACAAATATTTCCACATCAAACCCTTCTGAAGAAATTTGTTCAGATGAATGGCATACTGTATTTAAGAAATATTTCTGCTAAATAAAAATATGTATGAAACAGTTGTTGGCCAGGCTATCTTTAAGTTGAATCTACTCCCATTTTTTTTTCTTTTTGGAGAATAAAATGATGAAATCATGTATGTCAAAATAAAGTTCCCACTACCTGGATATTATAATGCTAATTAACACAAGATTGTATGTTTGTGTTAAGATACATTTCTATTAAGGACAAAAGTGCCTCAAATTTTAACAATAATTCCTTCACCTCCAGTAAGTAAACTGTCATTCTAAGACAAAAATGACTGAAGAATCTTTAATTTTAAAAAAGGTTCCGCATCTTCTCCGTCTCGCACTTTACTAAAGAATTCAGCAAACTGTAATGTAAAATATGTACATGTATAATATAAATTATAACACTCAAAAGTCTCTGGAGATAGAGAGAGAGAGAGATGTCTGTTTATAAATCATACTAAGCTAAAAGTCGGTTTGTTTCTTTTTTAGCTTGGTTTGAATAACTTACAAACTACAGTGCACAAAGTAAGATATTACATTAAATCTGAAAATGACCACATTATCTGATTTGTGCTTACTGCTACACATCACAGGGATATACGGTATTTTCTGAACTTAGTCATTAGAATTTAAGCCTTTGCACAAAAGTTGTTCTCTCTATCAGTTCCTTCAGAAACCTTAAAAAAATACTTCAAACTACCCTGATCATTTATCATACAATATAAAAGCAAAAATATTCATATTCTTGAACAGTGCATCTAATTATTTTCTCAGTCAAGTAGCTAGTCGTTTGTATTATTATAACAAAACCTTTATAGCCTGTGGACTTTAATCATCCAAATCACTTTTGCAAAATTGCCATGTTGCATTTTTAACAAATTATTTCTATACAGTATGTATATCAGTAAGTATAATTGAGAGCTATGCAAAGCTATTGCTTTAATAATATATTTGTATAATTCTACAGCTTGCATTATTGCATGTCTTGTATTTGTTAATGATTAATGAAAGTGTTGTATAGTCACTGAGGCCATAATTTTAGTTACTGAAAGGTGGTCTTCGTATAGAACGCACAAACTCACTAAGCACAATTTGGCGCAGTATGTTGTATGAATCTAGCCCATGTGGTTAGTTTGTAATAGTTCAGTGAATCATGCCAATCCAGAACACTGTATTGAAGGGGTGTCAAATGCCAGCCCATGGGCCAGATGCATCATGCCGAAACCACGCCCACCCCATTGCTGGCAATGGAAAAAAAAGTCGCGATATGTCGCAGCATGTCACGTGACGTTGTGAGTTTGACACCCCTGCTGTATTGGATGGACCACAGTCCAATAACCAGATACGTTTGTGCAAACATAGTCAGACTCTTCCATTTTTTCCTGGAGTATTATCCAGATACCCTCAAACTAGTGTTTACTGTTCAAAGCATTAGGCAATCTGATTTCTGTGCCTAAAGCCATTTTCTATAACAGCCTTTTCCACATTGCAGCCATTGAAAAACATTTGGATACAATTCCTATAATCTCTCACCAAAGATCAGTTCTGGATGAAAGTGATGGAACCATAGTCCAGCATGCCCAAAAATAAGAAGGGGAAAGGCCATTCTGTACTTTTGTGGAATTACAGCACACACCTAACCATCTTGCAACATACTGGAGCACATTTTATGATCTAAATTTTGGTTTTATATTGTTTAATCATTCTGATTTTATAGTAGACTTTAATGATTTGCTGCTTCTCTTGCATCTTTGAAAGACATTTGTAAAACACTCAACTTCGGTATAGTTTAATGTTTAAACTGAAAGATTGGGCACCATGTCCTTTTAAGAACATATTCACAGAGTAATATATATATGATTAGTAAAAACATGGAAGCTTACTTCTGAACTAACTTTGCAAATGATGCATTATGTAACTCTGATTTATAATAAAAACAAGCTAATATTCAGCCCAGAGAAAACAAATGAAGATGTGAACACCAAGAGTCAATTAAAGGAATATGAAATTATTCATTTTTAAAATATTTTCAGCATTGCCAACAAACTGGCAACCTACAATGTTTTTTTTTAAAGATGAACAGGGATGTGAAAGAAGGAAGTTGCTGTTCAAACACAATAGTCAGCATGTTATGCTGACAGTTTTTGTTTTTAGCATGGACATTCAATCGAATTAATTCCCACTTTCTGCTTGAACTGCTAATCAAGTCAAATTTTTTCTCTTGTTCACTTTTTCCTAAAACACGGGCAAAAATTCAGCTTGAGTAATTATTGTTTACATCAAGCATATGGATAAAATAAATGTGTGTAGTAGTGCAATAGGACTCAGATTTACCTGATTTCTATCCTGGTGCCTTAAACCAAAAGTGGCTCTCAACAACAGGCAGTGAGTGATGTGTATGTCCTGCAGCTGTGGAAGGTGATGTATCCCATTGTGAATGGTTCTGGTATGTTGAAAAAGAAAATTCAATGTATGAAGATGAGACAGAAAATCATCTATGTAGCTAAGCTACTGGTAGTATAGAGCTGGATAATAACCAGATCACAGTTAAAAGCTTTAGTCTTCTCTTTGCTGCTATCTGGTGGCTATATATTTGTAGTCCTATATAGGAGATCAGATACATTTCTAAATCCACACGAATAACTAGTTCCCTGTCTGGACAGAATAGCCACACATTAACATAGATTTGCTCAATATTAGATACAGAGAATGGGCATGAAGTAAACCTTTCCCAAAGTTAGAATTAGTTGTGTGAATTTGTAGTTGCCAATAAAGCATTAAATGGGCAACTGTTCATGCTTAATAGATGCAGCATTCCTTTAAGCTTTCAATCCAAAATTTGAATTTGCCTTGATATATCAAAGGTGATCATCTCAAATCAGCACCAGGGCTTTGGCTTTATCTGTCAACATTATTTTAGTTTTATTTTATTACTTCCAGCTCTGATTCTATTTCATCCCACTCTTACCCTGTTCTTCCAGAGACTAAAGCAATTTACAGGAATGTAATAGAAATCATCTTATATAAAACTTTTGGCTCATTCAACCCCAACAGATATTTTTAATTGATTCCTTTTTTGTAACAACCTCTCCTATTGTATCCCAAAGCTTACCTTTTTGGACATCCTCATATTGTACTGTATTTCTGCTATTAAAATGTCTATTGTCCACTCTGTTTCTTCAGGATGTTGGTCAGGTTATCTGCCAAGGTACATGTTTATTACATACATTTGGATAAAAGAATTTGGAGCTCCACAAGAGAAGCTGTGTCAACAGCCTGATACAGCTACCACTTCTGCTTTCATACTACTGAGCTAGGGAGTCTCTAAAGCATCCTTCAAAGCCCTCTGTTGCTATGGAAACCAACTCCTTGCATTATGACACAGGGATGTCTTGAGAGGCTGGGCCAGGAGCTGCTCTCCTCCATTAACCTATTAATGAAAGTGGTGAGATGATTGGATGATTAGAAGGGGACCAAGATGGCAGCAGCAATTGCACAACCATAGCTTTTGTGTTTCTTTGTCACAGTCTTGACTTTTTTGACACACATACCACCACAGACATCCCTGCCCCATCCTATCTGGTCATCTTTCCTTTTGATTCCTTAGACCTTTCTTGGTATGCTGTCCCCAGAGCCTTACTTCACAGGTACCTTGCCTCAAACCATCCTTGTTCATTGTACATGCCAAAATATTAAAGGAAAACTGGAAGAAACGATTTCCCCCACTTTTTATTAAAAAGAAAGGCTGAATATTTTAGACAAGTACTTTCTGTTTGTTTTAAAAAAACACTTCAAGTAGTTTAACGTAAGAGGACAACAGTCACAAATGACACTAGTCATTTGCTTATATGTATGTAATAAGCTTCTTTGCTTAAAGATCTCTTGTTTTTACTGTATTGGGATATAACAGCAAGGTCCACATTTACTGGAAATAATAGGTAAATAATGTGAGCATATGGCTGAAAATTATCTAGTTCTTACTTTAATAGCTATAATCATTACCTATGGCAAGTGACAAATACCAAGCAGGTTTTGGTGATTTTGGAAAACAAAGCATGACCATAGCTGGTTGGTGTTTGAATGGGAGAACCTTTGGCAATCTCAAGGTTGAAGACTAGAATTTGAATTTGGAAAACCCCACAGAAGAAGACAATGGCAAATTGATTCAATAGTAATGGCTGCTGTAAGTCTGCCTCATCTGAACAGATGCTTCATGGATGAAAGCTGGAATCCAAGATATATAAGCCAGGTAGGTGATTTGGGGCCAGTCACTTTTTTTCAGCCCTAGGAAGGAGGGAATGGCAAACCACTTCTGAAAAAACCTTGCCAAAAAAAAAAAAAAAATCCAAACCCAACCTGCAGGGATTTGTCCAGGCAGTTCCTAAGAATTGGATACAATTGAATTATTTACTTATTTATTTCATGCCATCTATCTTGAAAGGGTACCCACAGAACACAGAACAAATGGAACCTTTGTTCCCCAAATTATTGGAAACATTGATCCCGGGATCTTGTTTATGCTGAAAACACACCATCACCCTCACTGATTTCTTTGGCGCAAAATGTGTTAAGGGAGAGGTTTAAGATGAAGCTCCTAAGACTGTTTGTGCAGCTAATTGCCATTTGCTCTTTTTAAATGTAGGCACCGGCAGTGAACAACTGCAAAAAAAATTCTCTCTTGCTAGCATTTATTGTTTCATTCTACAGTAAACTAAATGGAGAAGGGAAAAAAAAACCTAATATCCATACATCTTATTTTTTAAAATCTAGTAATCTACAAAATTACCAAATAGCCCAAATACTAAAATACTACCCCATATCAGGCAACAGTCAAAGATTCTTTATACTTTGTCAGATAATAATATAGCAAAAGATGTAAACTTTCATAAAATTAATATATAATTCAATGAAAGATAGAACCCTGATTTTTCTTTTCTTTCTACACTTTTCTCTCCCCTTTAAACCAAGACCATTACTGGCACTGTTCCACTTCTTGGCCTGTTTAGTAATAGCCTATGTGGCCAGTTTATGGTTATTCAATTATCTAAATC